CAAGGGCTGAAGTTCAGGTGTTCAGCTCCAGGATGATTAGCTGAGATGACTGGCAGGTGTGGTTCTGGAGCAGCTCTCAGCCACGGCTGGACCTTCACAGGTCATCTCCACCACAGTGTGTACGAGCCTATTGTTGGTCTCCACACAAAACAAATGCATTCATGTGGGCCTATACATGCTCAGAAACCCATGAACATTTGCAGACACTGGAGAAAAATGTGATGTTTTCTGGGATCTGTGAATGTCTCTGGAAGGACATTGGTGTCGGTACCAAGAGCGACGCACATCAGTTAAAACACAGTGAACTTTACATCATGGCCTGCGAGGCGTGCTGCTTTTTCCTCCTTTGGTCTGCTGTTTAAACGTCTGACAGGTCGTCTACGCTGCTGTGTGTCTGATTGTTTCACCATGTGCTGCTCAGTCTTTGGGTTTTCAGCTTCGTTTCATTGGGTCTGCATTGTCTTCAGAAAGTCCAGTTGTTCTGTGTTAGCTGAAAGAAAATGACCCACTTCTGCTGTTTTTACAGCACGTGTCTGTTACAGGACTGTGACCTGATCAGGAAACACTGTGTAGACATGTATGACCTCCATTAGAAGGTTTTCTCCTCCTTTGCTTTCTGTATTGTGGAGTTTATGGTTCAATCACAAACACTTCCTGTCCTGGTGTTTGTTCACCACGTTGACGTTTTACCTTTAGACCGACGGCTCATCTGTCTGAAACTGTTGAAAGGAAACGACTGAAAACACAAGAATACGGGTTCATTCTTTTCCTTGAAAAGACGAGCTTAACAAAGCAAACAAACAAACAAACAAACAAACAAACAAACAAACAAACAAACAAACAAACAAACAAACAAACAAACAACTCAGTGTCCACCTGTCAGCATTTCCAGACATTTCAGCTTGTGGGCCGTCGCCTCCTGTCCTGGGACCAAACACACAGACTCTGGTCACATCATTGGTCCATAAGAACCAGACAGCTTCTGTCTGTTGATGAAATGAGGCAGATTTAAGTTCTACTGGGTGATTTCATCCACCTTTAACCCACCAAAGCCCAGCGACATCTTGGACCCAGTGTTGAATGAAAGAGGTTTCAGTGGCTGTTCTGCTCACGTCGACTTCAACGTGTAGCCAGATGTTAAAGAGTGAAACTGAACCTTGGGAACATTATCTCTCCAAGACTAACCGATATTTCAATTTGGTTTGGACAGGACTCCTGTTCCTACGGTGAGACGAAGCCGGTGTGGACTGAAACAGAACTCCGAGCTGCTCACATCACACAGCAGAACCCGGCTCTCTGGGTTCCAGCTTTGGGGATTCTCATCATCACACATATAACCGGCGCTGTCCGATGTGTGTGGACCTACCTGGCAGCTGTCTGGCTTCTGTTTGCTGTTGGACGGTTTTTAAAGCTCTTCATCTGTCCTTTGTTGTTGCTGTTAGTCTCATATGTTCTAGTCTAGTCTCTTGTTTTGTCTGATTTAATCCAACTCTGATGCGTTGGCCCGTTTGGTTCCGAGTGTTGAAAGCTGTCAGCTGAACTGTGAGGTGGGCCAGGGATGCTAGTTTTGATTAACCAATAGTTATTATCTGTAAGTTAGCGTTTAGTCAGCGAAGGGACGTGAGCTCAGTTCCCATGATATGTGCTGATGTTGGTCACATGATATATGCTGATGTTGGTCACATGATATGTGCTGATGTTGGTCACATGATACGTGCTGATGTTGGTCACATGATACGTGCTCTGACAGGACACGCGCTACGTGTTACACTAGCTACACAAAGACACATATAGCTAACCGCTAGTGTCAGGTAATGTTCAGTTAACACATTTCTTCTGAGCAGTTTGAGACTTCTGACTGGTACATGTTTCTTCTCTAACCTACAGTCCAGTACAGACCAGTGTGTGACACTGGTGGTCACATCTGATTGTGATGTCATCGTTTTATGGAGGTAGTGATGAGCCGTACACGACCAACCCCTGATGAACACTGGTGGTGGTGGAGCGAGGGTGAGGAACCATGACGTGGATCTGGATCACTGTGACATGACTACTGAACACTGGACATGAGGCGGGTGGAGGAGGGTCGTACTGATCTGAGAACAGTTTTCGAAACGTGACAGCAGTGAGATGATTCACAGGCAGATGTTGTGGCCACATCTGGTTGGTTCAAGTGAGGAGAAAGTGTCCTCAGTCAGTGATGAGTTGATGAGCGTTCATGTTCTGCTGTAGTTTGTACAAACATCTGTTAGACCTGGGTATTTTATCATCGTGGTTCTGATCCGGAGGTCTCCGGGCTTTTTAATCAACGCACATCCAGTTGATTGTCATGTTGCTGTGCATACGCAGTAGTACAGGCAGGATGAGAGCGTTTCATCAGGATCATTTATAATATAGGCAAGACACTAAACGTTCACTCTCGCTGTCTCCTGAAGGGGGCGCTGCGTCTATGCGCGCCGCCATCTCCATGGCAACAGTAAATGCATGCATGAAAAAGCAGCTTTGGGTTAATGACATGTTCTTTCCTTGTGCTTGTTGGATGAGCATTTCAGACGACATATCGGCTACCTGCTTCTGATTGGTCACAGCATTCGCTAGCGTCACACAGAAATACATTCTGTGAGCTGCTGGTTGTCCCGGATGACTCAAGTCAAATCTGAATGACTGACTTTTGACATCCATCTTTGGAAAATTGCAGCAGTTTAGGACGTGCACAGTTTGAGGTTAACGTAATAAACACATGACTGAAGACATTCATACGCTACCAACCAAACAACATGTTTGGATGGCTCCGGTGGTCTCAGTGCTGTTGGCATTTCAAAACAGTTCCAAACCATCAAACCATTAAAGACTCAGGAAACAGTAAAGAACAGGAACAACCAAACTGGTGAGCGGTCTGATGTCGGTCCACCGAGTCCCGGGTCAGCCTTGTAGCGCCTGGTGTGGTCTCAGCGCAGGAAGCCGTGCCATCTGTCAGGTGACAAACCAGTCGTATTTAGAGCTGCTGTATTCTCAATTGTTTGGGCTTCTCCTCTGTGACGGCAGAGGAAAGGATTTTTCCCACGTAAAGGAGGTGTGTGTGTGTGTGTGTGTGTGTGTGTGTGTGTGTGTGTGTGTGTGTGTGTGTGTGTGATAAGGCCTGGCTTGCAGCAAACAGTCATATTGTCCCTCTCAGACTGATTGTGTGCATTTTAAATCGATGTTTATCATCAATAGTACAATGGTATACATCTAAATGTGGAAGTGAGATAACATTCACAGACTCTGGCCGTGCAGTGCATTTGTCAAAACTGTTTAGTTTCCTAGTTTGTGATGAGAAGGTGGCTAATGTCGCTTTAGATTTTTTTGGTTTTGTCGTGTGTTTGAGGTAAAAATGATAAAATAAGAATGACTTGTCAAAGGTAGAAGATAGTATAATAATAATAATAATAATAATAATTGATCAGATTTATACAGCGCTTTTGTGGACACTCAAAGATGCTTTACACTGTCAATCATTCATCCACACACATTCATTGTGGTGGTGGTAGCTACGATTGTAGCCTCAGCTGCCCTGGGGCAGACTGACAGAGGCCTGGCTGCCATTCTGCCCCTACGGCCCCTCCATTCATACACATTCACACCAGGCAGGTGGTGAAGTGTCTTGCCCTAAGACACAACGACCATGAAACAGGTTAGAGGGCGGAATCGAACCGCCGACCTTCTGATCATCGACCGACTCGCTCTACCACCGGAGCCACAGCCGCCCCGTATAGCATCTAGACAGTGAACATGTAGGTTTGTTTCCTGTAACCATGAAGGAGTCACTGACTGACTGCGTAGTCGTGATGACGCTCAGCTTCCCATCATCAGTGCATCATACGTGAACTCACAGCTTCTTTCTCGTCCACTCTGCCTGAACCTGAACCTTCAAATCAAGCTTCACTCACTTCATGTGATTAAATACTCATTTCATCCGTCCAAAAACTATACCCCACTTCTCCTGGAGAGGGTCATTGGGGCCTGGAGCTGGTCCAACTGGCACTGGACCGGGATCAACGAGTCCAGAAAACTAAATTCCTGCCTGTTGCGTTTCTGACCTCTGTGTTAGTGACCGAAGCCTGATTGCTTGGAGTGGAGATCTGATTCAAACATTATGGTCAGGAGAAAGCTTTAATGAAATAAAAATAAATAACTTGGGGTGGCTCGGTGGTTAGCACCGTGGCCTCACAGCTAGAAGGTCGCCGGTTGGCGTCCCGGTGAGGACACCCGGGATCTTCCTGCGTGGAGTCTCCATGTTCTCCCCGTGCAGCGTGGGTTCTCTCCGGGTTCTCCGGCTTCCTCCCACAGTCCAGAAACATGCTGAGGTTAATTGGTGATTGTAAATTGTCCGTAGGTGTGAATGTGAGTGTGCTTGGTTGTCTGTCTCTAAGTGTAGCCCTGTGATAGACTGGTTACCTGTCCAGGTGAACCTGCCTTCACCCTGAGTCAGCTGGGATAGACTCCGCCCCCCATGACCCTAGTGAGGGTTAAGGAGTAGAGATGATGGATGGATGGACTATATTTCCTGTCCTGACACAGCGTTCAAACGAACCGTGGAGGACGGGACGTCTCTGTGAGGCTAACTTTGGCTAATGCTCTGTGTTGTCCTTGTCTTGTCCTTCCATGAGTCCAATGCCCTCCAGATGTTGACCCTAGTTTTCTCCTGACATCATCACGTTCCCATCTGCCCAGACTGTCTCACTGGATCAGACTGTTTTGTTGTTGTTTGTGCTGACATGGAGGCTGTGTTGTGCTGGGACTGAGTCATCTGTTGGCTTCAGCAGAGCAGCAGCATTGAGGCAGACTCGACCAAGGACTTGGCGTATGACTTCATTGCCAAAACCTGAGAACAACTGTGACTTACTTGTGACTTGCACAACTTTCACTTTGTTGTTTGTTCTTCAGATAGAGACGTGGCCCATCAGGGTTTGTGTAACAGCGCTCAGTGTTCTGATGAAGGTTTCTCTCGTCTCTTTCAGGACTCTTCACCAACGTCAGACATGGAGCAGAAGCTGCGTTCGGCCTCCAGTGTAGATGAACTCATGAGTCTTATCTATCCTTCGTACTGGGCTGCTCTCAAGTGCACATCCAGACTTTCTGCTGCTGTTTCCTCTAAAGCGTCCCAGCGGCCACAGTCTCGCCTCCTCCGGCCGCCGGCAGACACAGAGGAGCCCACGTTTGCTGCTGCCTACCTCAACCTGGATGTCCTCAAAAGTGTGTTTGTATTTGGTTGTCATATTATTTTCTCAGAAAGTAAGAGAGAGTAGAGAGGAGCCCAGTGCATCATGGGAATCCCCCAGCAGTGTAAACCTACAGCAGCATAACTAAGGGACAGTTGAGGTGGTCCTGAGCAGCAGAAGGTTTGAAGCCTCATCCTTGAACTGAAGTGCATGTGTGGTGGAGCGGTGGTCTAACTCTGTGTGTGTGTGTTCAGGTATAGAGTCAGAGTGGAGGAAGACTCAGTGCATGCCCAAAGAGGTGTGTGTCGACGTGGGAAGGGAGTTCGGGGCTCCCACCAACATCTTCTATAAGCCACCCTGTGTGTCCGTCTACAGATGTGGAGGATGCTGTCACTCTGAGGACAAGCAGTGCAAGAACATCTCCACCGGCTACCTCAGTAAAACTGTGAGCACATCTGTTTTCTTCTTCTTCTTATTGATGTTGTTGTTGAAAAAGTCCAGGAGTAGTTATTCATGACGTGTACATGTTGCTCACAAGTTGGTGCAGAAGTTGCTCCAGAGTTCCTCAGTTCCTCCAGGTGACTCTCAGAGAGACGGATGGGCAGCCTGGACGAGGGCACCTTCACGTATATGTGCCCCATTAACACCTTCTCTAATTAACGCCACAGGAACAGCACATGATATAAAGTGTAATGATTTAGACTATTGGCGGTTTGTTCCAGATTCAGGTTGAACATGGGAGCAGACCACCATAAGACCATGAGACTGGGCTGTAGAGGAGCAGCAGAGTAGGAACAGGAGAGGCTGTAGGGAACCAGGAGGAACATGGTGTGGAAACGTTATCGCCACAAGCATTAAAGAATTAGTACGTTAACAGAAATAAGACTTTTCACACGAGGAACGATGTTTGAGGCTCTGTCAGACATAACCAACCCCATCACTGCACGTCTCCGTAAGACTCACGCTAAAACATCCGACTTTACAACAGAAATACAAGAAATACTGAAAGTCTGGTGCGAAACTGGCTGTTCAACGTGCAGGACAACCTATAATAAATACTTATTGATAATGTTTAATTACCTATTGTTACTCAGGACCAGGTGTTAAAATGATTTATTTCTGATTTAAGCCCTTTAGCCTGTTGGTCAAGGTACACAGACAATTATTTAAATGCTGGCACAACAATGAAAAACACATTAACAGATAAACTATCCACATAAATAAAACTTAGCTCAGGATAAAGGAAAATGATCTCACCTTGATACACGTTAAACAGGTTCAAGAGGTGTTTTGTCATGTGTTCATACAGTATGGCCAACCTGTGGATGTGAGTGTGCTTGGTTGTCTGTCTCTAAGTGTAGCCCTGTGATAGACTGGTTACCTGTCCAGGTGAACCTGCCTTCACCCTGAGTCAGCTGGGATAGGCTCCGCCCCCCATGACCCTGGTGAGGATGAAGGTGTAGAGATGATGGATGGATGATGGTAGAACTTGAAGCGTTTCCTGACTTCTACGTCACACCGTGCAACGTGATTATAATTCATCCTGCAGGGAACGTGAACATTCTTTCATTGTTGAGACACCACAGGGCCTCTGCTGGTGTGTAGATCCAGAACAACAGGAGGAACAGTAATACGACATCTCTCTAGGATGAAACCGTGCAGCTCTTTTCTTTTGTGCTGCATTCATGTGTTTCTATAATTCCAACTTAAGAGCAATAAATACTGGTCTGTATTTGATTCCCTGCCTCCTGTCAGAGTGGCTGGGAAGAGCTGAAGAGGAAATATTATGTGTTCCACATGGTGGACGTGTGGTAATGTTTGGACCCGCTCCAGACCTCTGAATGACGAGACAGCCTCTTGTCACTGCAGCAGTTTGCTTCTGTTTTTGATCGGAGCTGCTTGTTTCATTCGTTACCAGCGACCATGTGGCCTGGCCGAGTATATGTCATGTATTTATGTGCTCAACAGAAAACGTCCCATCGCCGTACTTTTCCATTTCATACAATAAGAATCTGTTGACTTTATTCCCAGTAACTCGGCCGGTTCAGAAGCTTCTGACCCTAATTGTCTGACGCATATGTAAGCACACAGCCCAGAGGAGGATTTTCTAGGAACACAATCCTCCTGAAATGACATTTAAGTCGACTATGACATGAAAAAGTATGTGTTAAAAACATGAAGAAGACGAATGGTGGCGCTGAAATAGCCCACATGATATTGAATCTTCCACAGATTTTTTTCCACTTCCATATTTCTGCCAGAAGAGTAAACTAATATGCAGCTCGGGACGTAATGCTGAGATTCGGCGCTGTCCAGACTCTGTGTCTGTGGAGAAATAGTTAGAAATGTTCATCTTTTGGGAGCAATTGCAGCCCTCCACCCAGTGCACATAAACAAAGACTCATGATTCAATAGCGCCAATAAACTAGACTCAGTGTGCACACAGCTGTTCCACAACCCGATGATGTCTTGCTTTAAATAGCCGAGGCATGCAAGCAGCAGCTCGCTGTTGATGTCTTCGATGAAATGCTAATGTTTACTCTGGTGTACAGTAAATGCTGCTGCTGCTGCTGCTGTTGACCCAGAGCAGCGCTTCACTAAATCTTGGAGGGTGTAGAGATCAGAGCATGTGTTTTCTATAAACACTTTCCGAAGAAGAAGAAGAAGATCACCCAGTGTGATGTTTTCTTGCAGCTGGAGGAGGAGCATCAGCAGCCAGGAAGACATGGCTCAATAAAAGCCTCACAGTCACAGCGATGCTGAAGATGCATAACACATCATGTGCTTAATGTGCTCCCCACAGGAAGTACTGTTTGTAATTTATAATATTATGACTTTTCTTGTCTAATGCAACCTGACCCTGAGGATAAAGCCGTTACTTCTGTGTGCTTTATGTTCCCTTATAGCACTTTATTATAGTTACATGCAAAACACTGGATTTTAGGTTTCCAGTGCAAACTGAGGTCACAAGTGCATCTGGCATGAAGAAATGCAAACATTCACATCGTTGGTAATCAGAGTCGTAGAGGCAACCATGAAGCAGGTTAAGATGCTGTAAGCAGGTCAAGACTGTGACTCAGGTGGTACAGCGGGTTGTCCATCAGTCGCAAGGTTGGCGGTTCGATCCCCTCCACAGTCCAAGTTGGTCCTGATGGCGGCAGCAGCTTGCATGGCAGCTCTGTCACCACTGGTGTGTGAATGTGTGTGAATGAGAGAACATTGTAAAGCGCTTTGGATAAAAGCTGTATCAGTGCAGACCATGTACCATCTCCATGTGTCCTGGTTTGTTTCAGTAATGACCTAAACCACACAGAAGCTCCTACTTTAAGTTCAGAAGAAGCCATGGGCTCTATGTTATTATTCACATCACCACATGCTTTTGCTGGCTAGAAACCAGTCCTGAGGGCCTCATTAGCAGAAAGAGAAGTGTAATTGATGGAGGATTTTTTATCTAAGTGTGTGAACTGTTAATACAATCCAACTTCTTTATTGTCACTTCAGTCCCAAGACAATCTGCAAATGTCCCAGTGCATGATCAATAACATGAAGCACACACAGTCATCACTGAGGAAGCAGCGTCCACGTGGCCCACTGGTGCCATGAGTGGAAACCAGTTTACACGTGTCGAGACCATCATGGTCAGTAGAGTGGATTCTCTGCACAAAGTCAATGGAATAATGAAGACGGATGATTAAACTTAAACTCATCGGCCAGAAAGTCTGGATCCCAAACACACGTTAAAGCGGTAAAGAAATGTCTAAATCAGGCTGGAAGCATGATGTCAGACTGGCCTCCCTCCAAGTTTTGACTCTACCTCACTGAGAACCTCTGGACTGGACTGAATCAACAAGTCAGATTTAGCTGAACTGCACCAGTTTGGTTTGAAAGAGCGAACAAAACCAGAACCAGAAACCTGCCCAAAGCTTGCTGATGCCACCAAAGGGGATTAGTTCAGGTGAAAATTATCAATAACCACATATTAGCATGGTTCTGTGTGTGTTTCTGACCCAGACCTCTAATAAATCTATGAAAGAACCCAAATGTATGATTGTGTTTGTTGTGACAGACAAACGGTTCATCACAGGAAGTCCAGAGTTACAGGAGTCACTGGAGACTTCAGAGTGCCCCACGATGTACGGACCTGGACAGGGCATTACAACGGCCTGGGGCAGCTTTTAAACAGCACACAGACTGCTTCACCACGTTTCAGATGCTTCTCATGTCTTGACATACGCTGCAGTGACCTCTCAGGTGAAAGCCGCTGTAGTCAGGCATCAGGTAGATACAGGTACCACTTCATATGTAGACAGACCCACTGACTGTGACTGGATGAGGTTCATGATCACACCAGAACACAGGCTGGAGCTTAGCAGTGCAGCCAGCATGTGGACTGTATTTCTGTAGCTGTCACTGGATGGAAACCGTGACTGTTTTGAAAATTTGACAAGTTGTAGGACTCGAACATGCAAATCTTTAGCTGAGGACAGAGAACAATAGTCCAGTCTGAAGGCTTTGGGCTCGCAGTGGGAGCGAAGCTGTGAGCGCAGCGCCGCCGTCTTCTTCAAGCTTCACTACATGTTTTCCACCCTGATGGTTTTCCTGACTGCTGTTTTTGGCTGCGGCCTCGGATTCCCGACCGGTTCGGAGGTTTGTATAGTCTGCGGGGTACATCATTTAAATTACGACTGGCGAGATAAAACGTTTCACAATTTACCTGCATGTTAATGACTGTCTGAACTGATTAGAAATAATGTGACTCACAGCAGATGTATGGAAACGTGAGGAGCCGTTCTGTGGTTAGTCGGTGCCTTGCAGCACAAGCACCTAACCAGTCATAGAAGTCGTCTCTGACTGTATGATTTAGTGTTTGACTGCCTCTATATTGTGTATTATGGGTTCTTGTGTTGTCATTAGTGTTACCGTTGTTGCCTCACATGCTGCATTAGATATGTGGTCTTTTATTGTCCTTTTTGATTTGTCTTTTCTGCACTAGCACAGCGGCACAACAATATTCTGCTGCTCTGTCCCTCCTTTGAATGTTGCAGTCCAGAGTAAAATACGATGACAACGAATGGCTAAATGACAGTAAAGTGTGCTGTGTGCACATGCAGCACTGTACAGGGATGACTTAGGGTGACGGCCAGCCTTACATTCTGATGACGCAGGTTCAGTTTTGGGAAAACTAATTCAAAAATATAATATAGAGAAGCTGTGGCTGTTAAACTTTGTGAGAACGTGCACACTGAGATGCATATCAGACAGACAGATCTTAAGAGGGGTTCTGGGGTTCTGCTCTGGACCAGAAAACACTGAGGAGCAACGTCTGGTCTATAACCTCAGGGCTTAAAGTGGAACATAATCCTGAGCTGGAGCGGTTTTGTGTTTGGGTGGGGGGTGCAATCTAGCTAATTACTAAGATATTAAGATATCTGAATTCACAAACTC